TTTGCTTTGGTTCGTCTTTCTTCTTCTACCCCCCACCATCATTTTGCACCGGTTCGTCTTTCTTCTTCTACCCCACTGTTATATATTTCCAATCTAAATCTTGTCTAAAGCTGTGAAGAGAAAGATTCACAAATTCTTTTAGTAAGGTATTATACATTTGGGAAATTTGAAATCTTAATGGTTACTACATCTTGTTTTTACTATATTATTTGTAGATCAAAGAAAAAACTAATTTCTACAAGTGGCACAAGAGTAGAAAAGGATAATAAGGGAGGCATAATGAAGTTATATTATTTACTTGATATTCTTCATTTTATAACTTCAATTCCGCCGTAAGTTGAAGTTATATCATTTTATTTATTATTAGTCACAAAATAATATATTTAGTAATGTAAAATTATTTTAATATAATAATTGATATATAAATATGCATAATATAAATGAAAAAATAATATTTTGAAATAGCTTCAATACAATTGAGAGAAATAAATATTTTTGTACAACTTAGCCTTTATATATATATATATATATATATATATATATATATATATATATATATAACGTATAAATTAAAAGCAAATTATAAACAAATTTTTAAATAATTTCAATATACAGAGTAATATTTTCTTTCTGGGTTGAATAATAAAATTCGAGTGTTCTTCATGAGTGTCTGTGGATTAATTTCTTTCTTCCAAATATTTGCACTTATACAAATAAACATATTTTACAAATAATATCAGGAATTAAACGTAATATGTTTTAAACCTAAATTATACGTAACATCTTAACTTATTTATAACATGTATCATATATTATTTTTATGTGACTTATATCAGTAAAAAGATGAATTAAATTCAACATAAAAAAGTATGTTTTAGACCATAAATTTAACATATTTTACGTTATTACGTCATTCTAAAACATATTTGTTTGATATTAAATTTAATTTATATTTTTATTGATACAAACCACATAAAAATAATATATGATACATGTTACAAGTAAATTAAGATGCTACATATATTTTAGGTTTGAAATATATTACGTCAAATTAATGACGTTATTCGTAAAATACGTTTATTTGCGTAGGTGCAAAGATTTGGAAGAAAAAAATTAATCCATAAACTTAACATATTTTACTTTTTTATGTCATTCTAAAACATATTTGTTTGATATTGAATTTAATTCGAGTTTTTATTTATACAAGTCACATAAAAATAATATATGATACATGTTATAAGTAAGTTAAGATGTTACATATAATTTATGTTTGAAATATATTATGTTAAATTAATGATGTTATTCAAAAAATATGTTTGTTTGTGTAAGTGCAAAAATTTGGAAGAAAAAAATTAATTCATAAACTTAACATGTTTTACGTTGTTATGTCATTCTAAAACATATTGGTTTGATCTTCAATTTAATTCATGTTTTTATTGATACAAGTTACATAAAAATAATACATGATACATATTACAAGGAAGTTAAAATGTTACATATAATTTAGGTTTGAAACATATTACGTTTAATTTCTGATATTATTTGTAAAATATGTTTATTTTTGTATGTGCAAAGATTGGGAAGAAATAAATTAACCTATAAATCTAACGTGTTTTACATTGTTATGTTATTCTAAAACATATTTGTTTGATATTGAATTTAATTAATGTTTTTATTGATACAAGTCGTATAAAAATAATATATGATACATGTTACAAGTAAGTTAAGATGTTACATATAATTTAGGTTTGAAACATATTACGTTAAATTAATGATGTTATTCATAAAATATATTTATTTGTATAGGTGCAAAGATTTGGAAAAAATAAATTAATTCATAAACTGACACTAAATGGAAATGTCATTAGTCATTTGAAATAGAAAAAAATCAAAAGGAAATGCCATTAAAAACTGGCACAAATATATAAAAAAAACATTGGCTTACAATATTGTAATCAATTAACACCAACAAGAAGACAACATTATATACAATATAATTGTATACTAATTATGTTTTTCGTCAGAGAAAAAAAAGAAAAGAAAAGAAAAGAACTTATGATGGTTGCAATGATGCATCATTCTTTCATTCATCAGATCCATTATTGACCTTAATCTCCAAAACTCTCTCAACTGGTAGCCTACAAATTGGGCAGCGTTTGGAACCTTAAAACTTTCTGCCTAATGACCCATGAAAATTTCAATATCACAATTTCTTATTATTTTCCTTATGAAATTCTTTGACAAATACATAATTAAATAACACACATACAAAAAAAATAGAGGTGCAACTAGTATAAACCCATGTCTAATTTTTGGGAGTAATTTGACTCTATTTTCAATGCAAATAAAATTTAAAGCTCAAAAATATTACAAATGATAAAATGAAAAAAATTGAGATAATGATGCAGGTATAAGAAAAAACATTAAATATTCAGCCAAAATATACATATATATATATATACACACAATAAAAAAGCCTGACAAATTAGGCTCTACCAATAAGTTAAAAACAATATATCAGTAGGTAAAATTAGTTTTGCAAGTAATAATTAAAAATAGATAAAAATTAATCTAAACATGCAACTTTGCCAGAAAATCTTCCTTACTCTACTTCTCTGCCGATTATTTATGTATTTTGCCGAAATCTTGCTCTACTTTGGCTTGTCTGAAACAATAGCTATGAAGTTGGTCTGGTTTGGATTTGAGAAATATTTGATTTTGAAAGTGACTTTCTAATTTAATGTTGAGGAAACAAATATATAACAGACTTTTGGGGGGAAATGATTTTTTACTTTTGGGGGAAAAATTGAAATTTCAATTCATATGAATAAATTAATTCAATAATATAGTGTATAGAAATGATGTACAAATAACATGTATAAATGGTAAATATAATTTTACCACTTTTGCCACATCAGTCGAGAGATCCATCACTGGACAATTTACATTGAGATGTGAATGGAGAGGATTTTTTTCCGTTTTTAAAAGACTGATTTCAATTCTCATTATATTTTTTAAAATCCAAACACAATTTCTTAAAGTAGAGTTTATATTAGAACTAAAATGATTTTATTAATAACATGCTAATCATGTCTTAAAGTTGTTTTAAGGGTGTATAACACATTTCCATAGCATAAATGAAACCAGATTCATTGAATCTCAGTCTACTTAGGTCATTATGAAGGTATTATATTTGTCGCATAAAAGCTTGACTTTACACTCCTAATGCCTTCATCAACCTTGTCGTTGGAGAGTGGACTAAAAGTCAGGTGTGAAATGGAGTTTCCCGTTTACGGAGTCATGTGGACCTCATATGATCAATTATATTATATTTTGACCAATATTATTATTATTATTATTATACTAGAAATGGGTTAGTTCACTTCGATGTGCTCAATTTGGTTATTTCAGAATTACTTTTTAAACTCATTTTTTTTTAATTTTTTTTATTAAAGGATTGTGTTTTATAATTTTCAAACAATCTCGATTGAATGGCAAACGTCAAAAACATGTCTTATTTGCAAATATTTTATAGTTTGAGGTTTTTTTAAACTTTAGGGTAGTTACATGAAAATGAGCCTACAAAAGAATTATTTTTTTATTAATTTTTTTTTTTCTTAGTTGGTACGCATACATGTTTTCACTGAGGCTAAAATCCCTGACTTTCCTTTAGAAGGTAAGAGTTTGGTACTGCTAGACCAATGACCCATTGGTAAAATATCAAAAGATTTTATTTATTATTTTTTTTTTTTGCCTTTTCACCATAATTATATAAGTAGATTTTTATTATTTTATTATTTATTATTTTTTAATTTTTTTTTGTATAAATTGCACTAACACCGCCCTGAGCTTTTGGTCAATGGCACTCAGCGGATGGTCAATTGCTTTTTTTACATTGACACTCCTGAAGTTTCAAAAATGTGCATTAACACCTTATTCAGATCTCTGAAATCATATGAAATTACTTTTTATTACATTTAAATCATGAAATTAGAAATTTAACCTCTTAACTAAATTTAATGAATTAAACTAACCTCTTCATATCTTTTATGCATATAGATATAATTCATATATAATAATACTTCTACCACCATAATCACTACCACAACATAAAATAATAATAATAATAAAATACTTATACCATCATAACCACCACCACAACATAAATAATAATAATAGTAATAAATAATTTTTTTTTTTTTTTTGAAATAACTAGTTAGATAACTGTACACCACCACACTCAAACACCACAGTGAAAAAAAAAAAAAAAAAAAAAAAAAATTAAAAACAATCATGACCAACTCATACTTGTACATCCCAAATGCCACTAGAATCACTATCATACCAAGACAACACCGTCAACATACCAAATGCTTCGAGAATCACCACCACTGCCACAACCCGACCCACGTTCGTTACATGGGTTGGGCCTGAACTTTTCTAATTTATGAAGCCCGACTTTACCGATTGATCAGTGGGCCCTGTATGAACTTTATGTTCACTACCATACTCACAAGTCAAAGTAGCCGCTCCACAAAATTCCTGCGGTTAAGATTCTCTTGTCATCAGCAAGATGATATCAGCTGACGGTGTAGATTAGAAACATAACTAAACCCATGAAACTATGCGCACAGTAAATAATTCCTCTCAAAAGAACTCACCTATATTCATAGCGCGTACAAACTACTCTCCAATACATTACACGTGTTTCACGTATGTTACAAATCGTAACAAACACGCGCTACTAATGAAAGTGGAACTATCTCAGCGGTTCCACATTTTCATTCGATAGTTGACACGTGGCGAAAAGTGATACGGATAGGAAAATACGAAAGACGTGTGGGAAAAGAGTGGAGAGAGAGAGAGACAATCTCTCTCTTTCTCTCTAGGGGATGAAGTAGACGTTTTGAGCGAAAGTGCGTCTAAGTTCTCTTCATATAAAGAAGCAGGTCCCACTACATTTATAAAGAACAATAAAACCTCTCTCTCTTTCTCTCTCTAGACTAGATCTCCTCTTCTCTCTCTCTCTCCTTGTTTCAGCTATTATCAAACAACGGCGCGGACAAACGTACTCTTTCTCTCTCTCTCTCTACAATGACTCTCTCTCTCTCTCTCTAAAAATCTTCCCCCCTCGAAAACTTCTGTTTGAAATTTGAAAACAGATAAAGATAGGAGGAAAATGGTAAAGAAAAAATGAGAGAGATTTCTTACACGCATATATGTGTGCTATATACATACAAGATACAGATAGATACAGCAGCTGTATATGGACTCGAGAAAATAAAACAGGGATTTCTTAGCTGGGTTTGATGGGTCACTCTTCATTTTTGTGTGAATTTGTTGGATTGAATTTTGGGTTGGTGATGGTGGTTGAGAGGGATTGTATATGTAGGTGTGTGTAAATGATATAGTTACTAGTGATATATAATGGGATTGTGGGTGATTTTATTTGATTGTTGAAAATTGGATGAGAGGGTGATGGTGAAGTATTTGAAGATCATACATCTGTGTATCTACATGTGAATCAAATATAAGATCTGAAGATGGTGGTTGCCCAAAATCTGGGTTTTCTTGGTCACCTATGGGCTTTGTTTCTTCAGGTAAAGTTCCTACTCTGCTTGTATTTCTGGTTTTTCATTTCCTTCAAAGTTAAAGATTGGTTGGTTTACAATTTTTTGTTTTAATTTCTTCTTCTTCTTCACCTTTTATTTTTATTTTTTTATTTTTTATTTGTTTTTATCATACTCTGCCTGCTAATGTCTTTACCATTGCATTTCCCGTACGGTATGTTGTTTTTGGGTAACTTGTGCCTTTGTATTTTACAAATGAGGAAATTATGTGTTTTTTATTATGGTGTTTTTTACTACATAAAAATGTGTGATTTTGAACTAGTCATTTGAATAACAAAAAATTGGATTTTTTTCCCAGCTCTTTATCTGGTAGGAATACTAGATCTTTTTGGGCCATTAGTGTCTAGTTTTATAGGAAAAAATAGGGGTCTGCATATTTGAAATTGGGTTTCCTCAATTCTTTTTATTGGGTTTGTGACTTTACTGAACATTTTTGGTGCAGGAAATGAATATAGAAGCTAGTGTCCTCATGTTGTAATTCAAGTGTGTTCACCTTAATCTTATTGGGGGTATTGGGAAGATTGACAATTCATTCATAAATGGATTGAAAGTTTAGTTCATTGAATGAAATGGTAAAGACATTAGCATCTGTTCTGTTGATTTGTTGGCTTCTCTTTTCTATTTCGGCTGCTGATAATGGATACTCCAGATGTAATTGCGAGGACGAGGGTTTTTGGAGCATTGAAAGCATTCTAGAGTGCCAGAAAGTGAGTGATTTCTTGATTGCAGTGGCCTATTTTTCGATCCCAATTGAACTAATTTATTTTGTTAGTTGTTCAAATGTTCCATTCAAATGGGTACTGTTCGAGTTCATTGCCTTCATTGTCCTCTGTGGGTTGACCCATTTGCTCAATGGTTGGACTTATGGCCCACACCCATTTCAGCTGATGCTAGCTCTTACCATTTTCAAGTTCCTCACTGCTCTAGTCTCATGTGCCACTTCTATAACCCTTTTTACTCTCCTTCCTTTGCTTCTCAAAGTGAAGGTAAGAGAGTTTATGTTGAAGAAGAAAGCTTGGGATCTTGGTCGAGAGGTTGGAATCATAAAGAAGCAGAGAGAAGCTGGTTGGCATGTCCGTATGCTCACCCATGAGATCCGTAAATCACTTGATCGGCATACAATTTTGTACACAACTTTGGTTGAGCTTTCCAAGACATTGGATTTGCAGAATTGTGCTGTTTGGATGCCTAATGAGAATAAAACAGAGATGAACTTGACACATGAGTTGAAAGGGATGGATTTCTCTAATATTGATAGTTTTTCTATCCCGATAAGTGATCCAGATGTTAGAATGATTAAGGAGAGCTACGGAGTAAGGATACTTGACCCTGACTCAGCTCTTGCTAAAGGAAGCAGTGGAGAGTCTATTGAGTCTGGACCTGTGGCTGCAATTAGGATGCCAATGCTGAGGATTTGTAACTTCAAAGGCGGGACACCTGAGCTGATTCAAGCTTGTTATGCAATATTGGTTTTGGTTCTTCCTGGTGGGCAACCCCGATCATGGAGTGACCAAGAAATTGAGATAGTACAAGTTGTTGCTGACCAGGTGGCTGTGGCTGTCTCCCATGCTACAGTGCTTGAAGAATCGCAGCTCATGAGAGACCAATTAGTGGAGAAAAATCGAGCCTTGCAACAGGCGAAACAGGATGCAATGATGGCAAACCAGGCCAAGTACTCATTCCAGAAGGTAATGAACAATGGGATGAGGAGACCAATGCACTCAATTTTGGGTTTGCTTTCAATGATGCAGGATGAAAATCTGAGCAGCCAGCAACAAATGCTTGTTGATGCAATGGTTAAGACCAGCAATGTCCTCTCAACCTTGGTAAACGATGTAATGGTCACTTCGACCAAGGATAATGGATGGTTCCCATTAGAGATGAGGCCTTTCCGACTACATTCCATGATAAAAGAAGCCACTAGCCTTGCTAAGTGCTTGTGTGTTTATAGGGGTTATGGTTTTGCGGTTGAAGTTGAGAAATCTTTGCCCGATCATGTTTTGGGCGATGAGAGAAGAGTTTTTCAGGTGATTTTGCATATGTTTGGGTATCTTTTGAATGGAAGCAATGGAGAAGGCTGTGTAATATTTCGGATTTTCTCACAGAGTGGAAGTCGCTCAAGGAATGATCAAAGATGGACAACCTGGAGAGCAAGCTCATCTCATGGGTATGCGCACATTAGGTTTGAAATTGGGTTAAACAGTAGTGGTCCTCAATTAGAGTGCTCAAGTTCAATAGGACGCTTTGGTGATTGGAGATACCGCAGCAATGGGCTTGAGGAAGACTTGAGCTTCAACATTTGTGAAAAGCTAGTGCAGGTAAGAATCATCAGTGTGTGTGCGAACATATGTGCATGGTGGGTGTGTGTTTGTTATGAGCAGTGGATGACTCGTAACATTATAAGCTATGCTCACAGCATCTAAAAGTTCTATTCAAACTTCGTTCCTCTATCAAAATTTAGCCATTTTGTTTGTTAAATCTTATCAAATCTCAAGTTCATAAGTACTGATTATATGTTCTTTACTCTTGAGACTAACCATATTTGCTGAGTCTTCCATTTCGAGAAATGTTTTATTAGGAATACCTGCTTGTGTTCTTGTAATGGAATATGAATAGTATAAATGGTCAAAATCTGTTTTGTTTTGTCTTCAGTTGCTACAAATACTCCGCTAAAATTTCAACCTTAATCTTTTCTCAGATTACAGAAACATCATTTTCAGCCATACTGTATTTTGCTATGGCAATTTTAGTGAAGATATTCTCCTAATTATTATTATTTTTTTATTATTCACTTCATTCTTTTTTCCCCTACAACAATGAGAATTTCCGTCTATTCATAATAAAGGCCCGAAGACCATCATCAGTATATTTGTGAAGATTTTTTAGTTGCACACTAAAAGAGCACAAGAAAAAATTAAAATTGCCGGTGCTGTTCTGGTGCTTCCACAGGAATTAAAGGCAGTTCATGGCATTTTTAAATTTTTTTTGAAATGTTGTGAAAGCAACCATATTATCCTCAGAATGGTCATTTCCCTGGTTTCAACCACAATCTTCTTTTTATATCTAAACCATTTTCTCCCATGTGATTTTTTGACAGTTGATGCAAGGGAACATATGGGAAGTCTCAAACCCAGAGGGTTTTGATAAAAGCATGGTCCTTGTCCTCCGGTTCCAACTCCGGCAATCCATTGTAATAGACTTTTCTGAACCCGGAGAATATTCAGACCACCCACATTCGAACTCTCTGTTTAGAGGCCTTCAAGTAATGTTAGCTGATGATGAAGCTGTGAATAGGGCAGTGACCAGGAAACTGCTGGAGAAATTGGGCTGTAGAGTTTCCACAGTTTCATCTGGATGTGAATGTTTTAGTGCTATTAGCTCTGCAATGTCTTCTTTCCAAATCGTTCTTTTAGATCTTCATATGCCTGATTTGGATGGGTTTGAAGTTGTCAGGAGAATTCGCAAGTTTGGAGGCAGTAGTTGGCCGTTGATTATTGCCTTGACAACAAGTGCTGTCGAAGATGTGTGGCAAGGATGCTCGGAGATTGGAATTAATGGAGTTATTAGAAAGCCAGTTCTTTTACAAGGCATTGCTGATGAGCTTCGGAGAGTACTGTTACAGTCCAACAAAGTTGTGTGGCAAAGCGAAGCTGTAAGCTACAACAATGCATAATTTCGCCAACACTCTTGTATTGCCAGCACAGAGATGTGTTACACACTACAACATCAAAATTCAAAATGGTATATATACAAAATTTCAGTTTCTCTTTGTTAACTTCTGTGCTCAAGCCTTGTTATAATTGCACAGTTAATTAATTAGTTAATGAAAGATAGTAGACATTATTATCAACACATCCATACAGTAAAAAATACGATAATATGAAAAACTTTATGAACTTGATTGCAGGTATGAGTACAAAAGAGTTAGGGGAGACTGTAGAACGACTGAGTATGCATGAACATTTCTGATTAATTGAGGAAATAGATAATATATAGCTTTATATTGTAATGGCCCTCACCTTACCGAACACAATATTCTCCGCTTTTGGTTTCCCCAAACTAGAGATGTTCAACTCTGAAGTTGTGATGGATTCACAATCATCACGGCATTAAAAAGCGTTGTGTGATAGAAGGGTAATGAACACGTAGCTCGCACTAGAGTCTTACCTCTCACAGGTCTGCTCCCGCCTACCGAGCCTCACAATTCCATCCCCTTGGGAGCCTGACATTCCTTTCGGCTCACTTTCGACTGAGTTAAGCTTTGTTATCATTTGTAACGGCGCTCACTCTATCCGACACAATAGTGTCGGTTTTTGGCTCCTCCCCTTCCTAAGAAGTGACTTATCCTGGTATTACTTCAGGCTAAACACACTTAACTCTGGAGTTTTGATAAGTTCACAACTTTAAAACGCGTTGTGTCATAGAAAGGTGATGAATTTACATATAAAACTTCACTCTTCTACACCTAGGCGATGTAAGAATTGTGAGCACAAGTAACTCGTACCAGAGTTTTGCCTTTCACATGCCTGCTCCCACACACCGAGCTCACATATATAGATAATTATGTGTTCTAAATTGTTGAGGAATGCTTGATGATTTATACCATTTAGGTAATAGCTTTATATACATAATTATGCCTTTGACATGTATATATAAAATAGTATTAATATTGTACAACTCAAGCTTTGTATTGCAAGTGATTAAATTTGTGAAACAAACATTAAATTTCTAGAAAATCATCGTATTCTTTTCTTGGTTATGACTGTTAGTTCAAGGAACCAAATAGTTTATCCACCTTATTAGCATGAAAGTTTGTAATCCAGTATTTAATATCACCAAGTTGAGCATGTGCTATGTTACTGCAAATTGGATATTGTAACTTCTGAATGTGACATGGGGGCACTATATTCTTCCTAGGATGTAGTTCATGGAGATTGCAAGTGCTAATATAAGTTTCATTAAATATGGCCTTATATTTTATCCTACTTGATAATTATTTATTCTTGTGACCCTTAGTTTTTAGCTTGAGTAGTGTCTCCTGTTATTCCAAGATAATCTCCTATGGTTCCAAGAAGATGTCCAAGAATAGTAATGCTTTTCATATTTTCGTTTTGCATTGATCTAAGATGTTAAAAATACATTCGGTTTAATTTTTTTAAAATACATTCGGTTTAATTTTTTTAAAAATAATTCTCAAGAATTTAGAAAGCAAAAATATGATTTTAAAAAATTATAAAGGTTTGTTATATAAAAATGTGTAGGTGATTTTTTTTCTTTTTACTTTTGAAAGGTATTTATGTCATTTTTTAACTGAGTTTTCTGACAAAATGTCAACCAACAAATTTTTTTACGATTTTTAATTTTTATTTATTTATTTTCATTTATTTGAAACGAGAAAATTAAATCATGCAAGCTCAAAATGAAAGGCATTTACATGCACGTGGACTGCACATGCTACCAGTTGGGATAGTGGATTGGTATGGCCCTATGGGTCAGTATAGGTCAAATAGATTTGTTAAGGTGTGATAGCTCTTTATGAATTATGATCGTGAAATGAAAAATAAAGGCTACCATGCATGAATCTCAACTTTGAGTACGTAATACGCATGTAGACACTTTCTATTTTTTTCAACTGCAACCCTAGTGGCCCCTATGACTTACCTGTCTCCACAAACCCTAGTTGATGTGGTCTAGTCCTCTTAGAGAAATTTCAGCCATCCACATGGAAAAAGTTGGTTTGATATTCCATATAGTAATTGATTATATATATATATTCCCTACATGTTCGTGCCATTCATTATTAAAATATTTGTTAGGACTAGACGTTAGATCCTTTGCGAATATTATACAACCACCACTACTATTCCACATGTCTACATTCTTGGCTTTGGTTGGTGCCTCATTAATTAATTATGTACTAGTGAATTATTTGTCAACACCTGTGATGGGACTTAGGTTCATCTCTCCCTGAGTTTGTTGGAGTTCAAATCATTTTTCTATTCTTGTATTACATCAATGCCGGCATTAATAAGTGGCCAAGTTAGTAAAACTCTCCAGTCTCAAAAAGATTTCATTAATATGAACATATGGTGTACATGACAAATGCAGAAGCATGAATATCCCACACATTCACCAGTTGGATTATCAAATCAAATTAAAGGGTTTTTCAATGTGACATCAATGATCAGTCATAATCAATACTCATCTTTCTTTGAAATGGATTAACTAAGGATTGATCTTTAACATCTTGCTCAATTATAGGAAGCCCTTCTAATAAAGAAAAACACATGCTCCTCACAAGGTCGAGGTCTGCTGTTTATCAGAGTTTAAAATTTTTTTCAAGTGATTTATCTGAAATGGCTTCCATCTCTTCTTCAGTCTGTAGATCTTGTAGGTTGTATGGCTTGAAGGGCACATGTGAGCGAAGGCTTGTAAAATTGGGATTTTTGTACTTTAGAAGAATCGATAACCGACTTATGCCGATCTTTCTTTTTGATCCGGGTATTACTTTACTCTCCTTTGTTTCATGTATTATTCTCATGTTTATTCTGTATTTTATTGTTTTTAGTTGTCGGTGCTTGCCTTCCTCCTCTCTTAATCAAAGGGGTTCTTCTCTTTGGTTCCCATGGTGGGCCAATCCAATGATAGTCATGTATCTAAACTATTAGCCATCCCCTATGGATTGTGGTTGGGTGTTGAAGGACATCTTGATTGGCTGACAAAGTATTTATCTTTCTGGAATTGGGATTTCGCGTCCCAAACCTATCATCAAGCCAGGCATCTTTTAGAATTGTATCAGCAATTGTTGGGCAATTGTGAGAAGATGGTAAAATATTGAGGGCTTCAATAGTTGGCCGTTTTTTTTGATCTGGGGATTGTAGGGCTTGACTATAGTCGGTGGATAGATGATGTACGTACTTTTGGTCCAGTTCGCTCGCTATCGATGTGTGAATTTTTGGGTGGAAGCCATTATCGGAAATGGTTTGATGTTGATGTAGGCGATATGGCTTGTTGGCAAAATTTTAGTACTCTCTGATTTGGATTTCGGAGTTCTGATGTGTCCTCGTGCTTTGTGCTGCTCTGTTTCGTGTCAGGTTACAACGTCAAAGTCAAAGCTTTGGTTAGTATTCCGTGGCATTGCTATCACGCAACCAAAGGGTCGTAAGCTTTTGGAACCTGCTGTACTAGTTGAGTGGATGGTGCTGCAACATGGGTCTGATTATAAAAGGGTCCCAGGTTTAAGCCCAACTTTGCTACATCGCAATCAAAATGAACTGGATCTTCTTCATGTAGATGGGTTAATCCAAAGGAAAGCCCAACTTATACTGGGCTGTAGAATTAAAGATTATTATCTTATTGGTTTGCCATGGGTTTTAGTACCCCAGTTGTTTAGCCAAGCCCAAAAGGAGACTAATGCCTTCAAGTGGTGCCGCAACATGGAAGTTGTCATCATGCTATGTTACCATAGTTCTATTCTATTGGTGGCTACTATGTTCAGTGTTTGTTGAATGTTTTCTTGATCATCTCTTTGAGATGGATGAACTTTGTACTTTTGTTGGGTTATAATGTTTTATTTGCCAGGAAAAAAAAAGAGAGAGAGATTATCAAATCAAATTTACCAAACTCAATAAAGATTTAACAATTTTTTTTTTTTTTTTTTGATAATTATTATATTATAAACCAAAAGAAGCTGTACAAAAGAAAGAGGTGGCCCAAGCTACTAGCCCACAAGCCTGAAGGAATAAGCCCAAAGGCAAACAAAAACCAAAACATAACACAAACTTCAAACTGTCAACTACAGCTGTCACGTGGTCGCGAGTGAAACGATTCACTATAGATGAAATGAAGTACACTGGACCTCAACTCAGGTTTACACCCTTTCTGTTCTACCAAGAACTAATTGCTGAACGCCTTTGGCTTAGAGATTCCCTCATCCAAATGCTCTCGACTTTAGGCTTACTCCTTTGATCCCTATAGAAGGATTGTTGATAGATCAACAACACTTCACGAATGCTTTGACCCTTTCAAAGTGTGATCAATTCCTTATTTTTTTTTTTCAAATCTGGATTGATGAAGATAAATAAATAAAATCTCTATTTTTTTTTATTTTTTTTAAGCGATATCAATGGATCTTCAATGATTTAGACTCCGATCAGATAGGGAACAACATCTTAAATCACTATTGTATATAGTATATCTACTTTCAAGATGAAAAATAAACACTCAGAAAATCTCACAAATTGATTTTTTCTAAATTGCTGAGAATTGTAATCAAAAGCTGTAGAAAACCCTAATGAGAAAGAGTGTTTATATAGATGTTAAGGAGACCTAATTTGACTTAAAAACCAAGTTAATTTCGCCCTTGTTTTTATCTTTCGATTCTTTCTTAGCAATAATGCTATTTTTGGGACTTGGACAAACAATTGATGTATGACATCTACCACCACATGTTCAAAAAGTTATTTCAGTTTCCTAAACTCTTCTACTTTTTTTTTTTTTTTTTTTTTTTTTTTTTTTTTTTTTTTCTCTCTCTCTCTCTTTCTCTCTTCTATCCTTCCCTCTAGAAGATGAGACTTTTTCCATGATCGTGAATTATACTCATTGCCTTTCTTGTTCTTTTGATTTTTCATGAACTTGTTCAACATTCTAGTTCTAAGAGCTATTTATTCATCAAAATCATTATCAAGATCAACTTCAGATTTTGTAGGTTTCAATGCCAAATTCTTTACATTCTGAGGTTTAACATAATACTTCATCTCAAAAATTTTAATTAAA